TTTAATAAGACAAAATGTCACATTTAAATTATAATTATTTCATTTTTTTCTTACAAAAGTCAAAAAATCAAAAATTCTATCTCAAACGAGACTTTTTTAACCCCATGCTAAAATAATCAAAAAGTCAAAACGGCAGCACACATCCCAAACGAACCCTATATATGATTTTGTTGCTTTATGATTTAACAAATCTAGATTACCAAAATAATAATAATAATAAATAAATAAAATAAAACAAAACATAATACAAAATAAAAAATGAACCAACTACAACAAAGTATTAGTTAAATATTACTTTGAAAAATATTTAGTGGCCCGAATTTGTGTGGCTCGAATGGCTTGAGTATGTCAAAACGATGTCGTTTTACACTCAAAACGATATCGTTATCGTTTTGGATGTTTTGAGCCATTCGAGCTATACATTTTCGGACTACCTATCATTGTTATATTACTTTTATGATTTTTTTAGATGCAAAATTACTAATTAAACATTTATGATTTATAAGGGCCTTTAGTTTAGATTGTGAATTTAGATTAGTTGAATCGGATCCTTATTTATTACCTTCCAATGTTATAAGAGCTAAAATTACTTGGACGGTGAGAATTTTGACATGACTCAAGCCAGAAATGACACATGGTATTTTTAACTGAGAGTGCCTCGTTTGGCAATATCACTTTTTAGCCTAAAAGTCAAAAAGTCTCTAAAAATACCAAAAAACTAACAACTTATACAAAAAGTCAAAGATTCTCTTTTCTCTCTACTTTTTGCACATCTTTTCTTAAAAAACCAAAAAGTCATTCCAAACATGCTAGTTTTTTTTTTACATCATATTTTATCCAAAAAGCCAAAAAATTACTAAAAAAACTTATTCCCAAATGAGGCCACATAAATTGGACACAAACAAAAAATGACACGATACGAAAAAAAGAAAAAAAAAAAAAGAAAAAAAAAAGAGCAATGCTATATATAAATCCATTTCTTCCATCATTTTCTCACTCTTGAACACAAAGCAATATAATCTGTATTTATAAATGCATATGAGACCCACTTACTCATGTTTTGGAGTGAAAAAAATGAGGTCAGAAATAATATTATATGTGAAATTGAATAAATTAGATTTATATCAAGGTAATTCTAACATGAACTTAAAATAGCACGACACAACACCCACGTGGTTGGGGACCCCTTGGTTATCTCTCATCAAGGCCAACCTTTGAGAGGGGTACGTCTGGCATCTACTTTTTAATTATTAATTTTTAACTTATAATAAGCCTCCGTTTGGGAAGTAGGTTGGCTTTTTGGTTTTTTTACTTTTTTGGCTATTTTAGTCTGGGTTAAAAAGTTTGGTTTGGGAAGGACTTTTTGACTTTTTTAATTTTTTTTGTGAGAGAATAATGTAATGATTATGGGTTGGATGTAATGTTTTGTTTGCTATGGCTAAAATAGCCTATTTTGTCTTTTGTGACTATTTTAGCCACAAACCAACTTGCCAAACAATACCTTATAACAAACAAGTTCTATACTCCACAGAAGTATTGTGGGTAGGAGTAGAAACAGTTTGATTCAATCGGTATTGTAGGTAAGCTTAGTACTAAATTAATTATTTCGATTTTGATGATTGAGAAACCGACACAAACTGTGTGTTACAGTTTGATTCAATTTTGTTGGTTTGATATAAACGAGGGATTTGCATGAAACTTTAAAGGGTTTTATACAAATTTACAAAATTTCACATTGAAAATAAATAAAGAAAAAAAAATAAAAGTTGCTCTATAAAAGTTTTCCTTCCAAATTTTTATATAAAAAAAAGTACACTATATTAGTCACTCATCATATAATGTTTAAAAAAGGGTAAATTACATTTACCTCCCCTGAGATTTCAGACAAATACAGGGACCTCCCCTGTAGTTTGAATAATTACAGTAACCTCCCCTGCTTTACCTGACAATATCAAGATTCCCCCCTGCTGTCATGTTCGATTATGAGTTTTGAAAATAGTTTTTGAATTGAATTTTTAGTTATGTATTTGGTTACGATTTGAGTGTAGAGTTTTGAAAGTAGTGTAAAATTTCGAATTATGTGTTTGAATATAAGTTTTGAAAATAATTTTTGAATTGAATTTTGAGTTATGTGTTTGGTTGTGATTTGAGTGCGGAGTTTTGAAAGTAGCGTAGAATTTCGAATTATGTGTTCGATTATGAGTTTTGAAAATAGTTTTTGAATTGAATTTTTAGTTATGTATTTGGTTACGATTTGAGTGTAGAGTTTTGAAAGTAGTGTAAAATTTCGAATTATGTGTTTGAATATAAGTTTTGAAAATAATTTTTGAATTGAATTTTGAGTTATGTGTTTGGTTGTGATTTGAGTGCGGAGTTTTGAAAGTAGCGTAGAATTTCGAATTATGTGTTCGATTATGAGTTTTGAAAATAGTTTTTGAATTGAATTTTTAGTTATGTATTTGGTTACGATTTGAGTGTAGAGTTTTGAAAGTAGTGTAAAATTTCGAATTATGTGTTTGAATATAAGTTTTGAAAATAATTTTTGAATTGAATTTTGAGTTATGTGTTTGGTTGTGATTTGAGTGCGGAGTTTTGAAAGTAGCGTAGAATTTCGAATTATGTGTTCGATTATGAGTTTTGAAAATAGTTTTTGAATTGAATTTTTAGTTATGTATTTGGTTACGATTTGAGTGTAGAGTTTTGAAAGTAGTGTAAAATTTCGAATTATGTGTTTGAATATAAGTTTTGAAAATAATTTTTGAATTGAATTTTGAGTTATGTGTTTGGTTGTGATTTGAGTGCGGAGTTTTGAAAGTAGCGTAGAATTTCGAATTATGTGTTCGATTATGAGTTTTGAAAATAGTTTTTGAATTGAATTTTTAGTTATGTATTTGGTTACGATTTGAGTGTAGAGTTTTGAAAGTAGTGTAAAATTTCGAATTATGTGTTTGAATATAAGTTTTGAAAATAATTTTTGAATTGAATTTTGAGTTATGTGTTTGGTTGTGATTTGAGTGCGGAGTTTTGAAAGTAGCGTAGAATTTCGAATTATGTGTTCGATTATGAGTTTTGAAAATAGTTTTTGAATTGAATTTTTAGTTATGTATTTGGTTACGATTTGAGTGTAGAGTTTTGAAAGTAGTGTAAAATTTCGAATTATGTGTTTGAATATAAGTTTTGAAAATAATTTTTGAATTGAGTTTTGAGTTATGTGTTTGGTTACGATTTGAGTGTGGGGTTGTGTTTTGAGTTTCAAATATTAAAATTAAAATATTTACAAAATAAAATAAAATATTTAAATAAAAATTATATATTTAAAATAAAAAATAATTTTTTTTAAAACATTTTTTAATATTTTTAAAAAATAAATCTAAAAATACTGTTCCAAACACTCTAAACTTATCCTCCAATCCAAAAACATTTTTTAATATTTTTAAAGGGAAGGGCAATAAAGTAATTTCTGAAGGAAAAAGTGACCCCGTTTAGTGATTTTTGACAGCAGGGGGGAATCTTGATATTGTTAGGTAAAGTAGGGGATGTTACTGTAATTATTCAAACCACAGGGGAGGTCCCTGTATTTGTCAGAAATCTCATGGGAGGTAAATATAATTTACCCTTTAAAAAATTAAAATATAAAAATATTTAAATATAATATTCAATTGATTCGGTTTACATCGATATAAAAAAAATTTAAATTAAAATAGACTGTATATTATGAAAAATATATCAAAAATTAAAATTTCAATCGGTCAGCTCGGTTATATTCAGTGTGTTTGGTTTGAGTTTTTTGAAGTAAGTTTTTTAAAAATTAAGTTTTTTAGTTTTCGTGTTTTTTGGTTTTTAGTGAATATTTTTTAAATTTTAAACATTTTTTAAAACTTTTTAGATGCATCTTACTTAGATGTATCTAAAAAGTAAAAAATTTGTGAAAAAATATTTTAAAAAATTAATAAATACATAAAAATATAAAAAATGTACTGAATTCTCGTATTTTTTTTGTATTTTGAGTATAAGTGAATTTTTTAAAGGTTTTCTTCACAATTTTTTTACTTTTTAGATACATCTAAGTTAGGTATGTCTAAAAAATTTTAAAATTGCTTAAAATATTAAAAAAAATCAGTAAAAACAAAAAAAATATGAAAAATAAGAAAGTAAAATTTTCTGAAAAATATTTTTTGAAAAGTGAAACCAAGCATAGTGTGGGGGTCTCCTTCCTCATGTTGTGGGGTAGCAAGGAGGTCAATATCAATGAAGAGTGACGACTAGTAAGTAGTAGAGCATCCTTTTCTTGTGAACACAAACTCTTGCTTTTCGCCATTGATAGCTTGGCAAGGCAAAGCACGGGTGAGAAAAACATAAAAATTGGCACTAAATTTGAATCAAAACTTCAAAAGCGTTTTTACGTGAATGTTACTTCACCTTTGTTTGTCTCCCTATTATTAGCCTCTTAATTAAACTTGTCACATAATAGCTCTCAACTCCACAAGTTTATATGGAATTCTATAAGATTTGTATTTATGATTTAATATCAAATATAAACACCAACAACCAATAACAATTCCCAAACAATCAATTATAAATCTAACCCAATTTATGAAGAATTGAATTCGAATTATCCACAAATTGAACTAAAAGACAAATAATTTAACGTGAAAACAACTACTACTGAAGCACTTCTAATAGTGATTGAAAAATCACGAGCCAAACAAGGCCTAACATTATAGATAGAGCATCTACCAACGGTTAAAAGTTCAATTCTTCAATGGTCAAACTATATATTTCTTTAATGCATCTATGCTTTTTGGTACCCTTTCTCAGCCGCAAAAGAAGACTCCAACAAAGCTATTTGATTTTGCCACCGTCTTTCCTTTGATTAAAACTACAGTTGAGAGAATTGGTCAATCCTCTAATCCTAATCTATGTTTACATCTCAGGATTTTATTGAGTGAAAAAGGAAACCAAAGAAATAATTTTAACTTCTTTCAAATAAAATAAATTTTTTATTTATCTTTTCCTCTTGTCCATGTACTTCAAGAATTCTACAAATGATGCGCTCAATTTTGTTCACACTTTCAAAGTATTTGAACAATACGCCATATTTGGATATTGAAATTGAATTAGGAAAACCAAATGAAAGAAACAAATTCAACTTCTTTCGGTTGTTCTTTCTTAACTTTTCCACAAATCATGAATCAAACCTAATAAGCCAACGGAGTTCTAATCCAACTACATCTCCCCGCCTTTCATATACGAGAGGTTGATAGTTCAAATCTCATCGGAGGCGAAGTTGGGTGATAGCGCCCTTAACTTATATCTGCACAATTTGTCATCTGTTGTAGGTTCAATCTACAACCAACGCTTAGAAGCTCCCCTACCCCCACATATTTAGGAGTAGACTAGATATATAAACTGTATTTCCAATCCCAAGAAGAAGAAAAAATTCTACAAATGATGGAAATATTACCTTGATTGAGGGACCCGCTATTTCAGAATAATGGAAACAAATCCATTTTCACTTTGAGAGTGGGCCATTGCACTACAACCCCAGCAATAATTGCCTCTGTTAACATATGAACCATACCTTCCAGCAGTAGTTCCGCTCTTGTTACCGGAGTTCCAGCCCCAACAGACAGCCGTTGATGTGAGACGAAAGGAATCCAAGTCGGTTGAATATTGTTGTATGCTTCTCTGAGATCACTGTTACACATCTAAAATTAGATCTTGTATGTCATTTGATGCTGTCTGATACACTAAAATACAATGCTTTTATTGCCGAATAAATATGCAGAAACAAACATTAATCATCATACACCAGACATCTAATGAGAACAATCAAAATCGCTCGAAAGAAAGAGGACTTAAAAGCGACTCTTCAAATTCTCGAAAACCTCGGTAGACAGCATCTGTTTGGATCTGGGGAAGAGCCAACCTCCGCACTTCAGTCATATACCTGTTACATTCCCATCCAAGAAATAGAATTGAGACTTCAGAATTTGAGGCATGAGCAAAACACTAGAAAAATAAATAAAGTAATTCGACAATAAAACAATTACAAAATGAAAAGCTTTCTATCTTAATGTATACCAAAGTCCATAATAAACTGCAAATTTTAGTGTTGAGCAAGTTGCGAAAAGTATAAAGATGAAAGAGGTGATAAACCCCTATCTGAACAATGGAAAACTGGAATCAACTTGTCTCTCCCCTTCATCAGCCCCCAAATTCTGGTTCGCAAATCATCATGAAAAGGCACACCATTATTTTTAGACATTTTTATTTTCAAATTCTTAGTGTTTAATCGTTTATACAGGGTTATCATAAAATAACACCCTTATAGGACATAACCTTGAGAATATATAGGTCCAATTGGCTCAGCCATGAAATTTATGAAAAATTTCTAAGTTTTATCATATCTTTGATTACTCTTTCTTGAACCACATTTGCACTGCACCCTAGTGAGTTAAAGTTTTGATTGTCACATCAAAGAGGTAAGAGTAGTGAGGATTTGTTGAGATTTGATAGGCTAGGGTTTTGGGGTTAAAACAAGTTTATTTGCCTGATGTGAGGAGCACCACAAGCATTAGTTACTTTGAGAAGAAAAGCAAAAGGACAAAGAAAAAATAATAAGAGGAAAGAAGAGATTTACACTTGCAAAACATACAATCCGAAATTCTCATAAATTCATGTAGCCAACCTTACTTGAGTGGAATACAAAGCTTAGTTTGGGTTGGGTAGCTTGGTTTGGGTTGGGTTGGATTGGTTTGGTTAACATGCAATTTATACGGTTAGGATTCCCTAAATTTATTAAAATCACAATTCACAAATATTAAATTTTGACTATTTGACAATTAATAATGTACTGGACCTATATATTTTTTAAATTTAATAATGTGATGCTGTAAGTTGACCCAAAAGAATAACCATGGACCTATACTATAGTCCATGTCTATCAAAACCAAAAATCAACAACTATGGTTAACAAATAAAATCTAGTAAAACATTACAAATAAATAAAAATAATGAAAAAGAAAGAAAACTATCCAGCAAAGTCTAAAGTTCATAACATAAGGTCCTAATTGGTCCCCATGTAAAATTATCATTTTGTTGCTACTTATGTGCTCTGCGTTGCAAGTACACCTTCAAATTGTCATAGAAGGTTGTGCTCAAAAGTCTGAACTCTGGCTTCAAAACTTATCCTTCCAAATACAATGTGCCAAATCTATTGTTGTTTGGGATTTGAAAAGTCCTATCTATCTTTGCAAAGTCTTTTCTAAAAATCTGTGTGGGTGTCTGTTTCTATTTCTAAGCAATTGCTAATTTAATAGTGGTCTATGCCATGAAAAGAATCAGTAGTTTGATCCAGATTGATGAGTTGGTAAATATGTGTTGTACAAGTACGATTCAAATGATTTAATCAGTTTTGCACTATTTCATTGGAATAAAGACACTAAGAAATTATAAAAACCTAGTTGTCCTAACTGAAAATTGCAGTGGTTGTGGACCCACATGGAGGGGGTTAGTAAGAATGGTATGTTTCTATAGCACCCAACTCACAAAAAAATGCTGAGTTGAAAACAGAATTTTAAACCTTCGGATGAGGTCAGCAAATTGACATTGTGTCAAAAGATTTGAATGCAGCAAGAGGCAGGTTTGAATGGTTTCATGAATGCATATTGTGTGAGTGATTTTCCGATCACACTGTCCGACTCAATTTTCAGCTGGAGAACACTAGCAGAATAGATGACACCTGGCTAAGCTGTAACAGAAAGAGAAGATTCCGGCGGTGGTTCGTCCACCCGGGGGCACTCCGACGATCAAGTTAGTATATCTCTCAAAGATAATCAATAGTGCAAATCTCACTGTTCAAAATATAAATTGCCTACCTTAGACCCATGGGGGTGCCTCTCTTTTATAGTTTTCTCAATCCTAATCCCAATAGAAGCCTGACTTCTACAGATTCATGTTTAGTTCTTACTTTGGACTCCTCAAGAGATGCAAATAAACTCCCTAAGAGCTTTATCCTTATGTTGGCTAAGTCCCCTCTTTATTCTAAGACTTTGGTCCCTTAAATCTTATCCGCTTACCTCGGCCTAAAGGAGATGACCTCGGCATAAAGACCAGGACACGTGGCACCTTGGCTGACACGTCGGCGTCACCTTGGCCACGTGTTGGTCCTCAGAAAATATATCCCCACAACTGCCCCCCCAGGTTCTATTACCTCGGCATCCTGAGGTGATGGAACCTATATCATTCCTTTCTTCCAGTATGTCGGCTTACAGTATTTAAGCCGTGATCATTATGTTGGCCGATATGTCTTCGTTAAAGAACAAGAATTCTAATGAACTCCTTTATGCGTATGAGCTGTCAAACATCACTTTTCAACTGTTTCATTCACGCGTTTTATCCTTATTGGATCGTGCTTATGACGCGCCAGAAAACCATCTTGTTTGCGTGCGCCGTCTGGCGCACTCGTTCTTGGTCCATTGATTGGCCTTGCAACTGATGATCTCCATCTGCTTCAAAGTGGATACAAAAAATAAAAACGTAGGTACTCATGACTAATAAAGCTAAAAACACCTTTTTTTTCTTTTGTTCTAGAAATAGAAAAAATATACGAAAAAGCACCACATTTATTATATCACGGTATTCACTACAAAAAAGTTGAACACAAAGTTCACAGTTTCTTAGTGCAATGACCATACCCAGAATGTTTGCTTCACTATTTAAAACATTAAAATGACAACCACTTGTCTCAAATTTAAAGAAGAAATTCAATTTTTTTTTTTTATATAAAAATTTACAAGGCCATAAACAAGTTACATTCTAAAAATCCATTATAAACAACCTATAGAACTCTAGGTATCTATAGAACTCAATTTTTCGAACTTACTTCACCAACCTATAGAACTGTAGGTATCTAGATGCAATTTGTTTTCTACGACCATTAGAATTTGACATCATAAAGAAGCTTCACAATGTAGCATTTTCTACATGAAGAATATGTAAGCTACAATTCACACTATTATATTTTGTTGTTCAACCAGATTATCACTTGGTGACAATGAAAATATGAAAAATGATGTCAATAAAGTAACCAATTAACAATTCAACAAAGAGAGAGCCAGATAACAAACATGAAGCTAGCATCCACACAAAGGCACAAGAACAAGATGCATAGATACTAGAGTAGATACAGTCGTTTTTGTTCCTCAATTTTCAAGCATTAATATATTGTAATCAGAATTTCTTGGATGTTTATGATCATGCAAGAAAAGATTAACCAGGAGGAATGTAGGCCATGCAAGTAAATTCAGAGAAAGGGCCATCTTTTACCTCTTTGAGATTGACCCATTCCCATGTTTCATCTGCTGTACTAATATCATAAACCAAAGCATGCCGGCCCTGGCAATTTTGAAAAAAAGCAAGTTAAATTACATGCCCATCAAATACAGAAAAATCTTTCAACAAACAAACAACCAGACATACCTCAACAGGATTGTAGTTAGTTATAACCGCCTCATAGAAGTTATTGTCTTCAGGCCACCTTGTCCAAACTTTCCTTCCAACTTATGGATCAAAGTTTGCTGATTTTGGCTTCACACACAAATTATTCAATTTTTGTCTTTGTCCACATTTTGCATCTCTCCAAGAAATTTCTTACCTGAAAAATAAAAATCTCTCCAACATCAAAAACTATATATATGAAATAAAAATCCCACAGCTGCAAAAAAAAAATAATAATAATAAAATAAATAAGTAAATAAATAAAGGAAGGCAAAAGAGACAAAGATGCATATATCTTTTCTTCTCTGGACGAGGGGAAGGGGAGCTTTTGTCCAGTCCTAAAACAATAGCTGAATACCTGTCCAATAATCTTTGATGGTCTAAAGTTGCTTCATCAACAGAAGGTATTTCTCCATTAGTTCTAGGGACATGCTGCACAAATACAGCAACATAATAGTGAGTTTATTTATAACAAGTCATCAATAAACCATAGCAAATAGAAGCACATATGACAAATATGTGGAGAATGTCTAAATCAACCTGATAGCATTAGATATTGTTGTATTTCTTTATGTAGAATGGAGATGTTTACTGTTTTTGTGTTGGTAACTCAAATATGGAACTGGTTAGGCCAAACTCTGGTGGTCTGTCTACACATTCTACTGGAGTGTCATGTGATCTGCTGTGTAAATCTATCCAGGTGCCGTGTCTGCCTGCTGTTAATGTCTATAAATTCTGGTTTGTGTTGTGTTTGCTTTAGTTTAGCTGCTATGAATAGCTGCCCAGGTGCTGTGTGGGAGTGTGTCTTTGCCTTGCTGCTGTTGATTCTGCCTTGCTGCTGTTAGCTCTGTTTTGCTGCCGAGTGTTTTAATGGTTATGGAAATTGTGATGTCAAGTACACGTAAAAATCTATAGTGCAACTCATAAACTAATAATGGGGCTTTTAGTTATTATTTAACACAATAGTCTATGGCTGCTATCCTGACTTGTAGAAACACTAACTTAAAATATTTGAAGACTCCAATGTATTTTTTCCACCATGAGATCTATATATAGCTAAAACTTGAAATATGCTTCATATCAAGCACTATAATACACTGTCTACATAAAGAGATTGGCTAGAGAGAGAGAATGAAAACCTTAAAATTGGGAGCATTTCTTCTTATATTGATCACATTTCTTGTAACATATTTCTTCTTCAACTCTTTGATCTTGCTTCCATGTTCTCAACTCAAAGTTCTGTGGTTGCTATCAGAAGGTGGGCTGAAGACCAACATGGATCCAATTTGCTTGTGCCTAAGCTATAATGGTTTAATCTAGTCTATAAATATCCAAAGATAGAGGCAGTTAGGAAAATATAACAGTAATGTATAGAAATAGTAGATACTAAGAAAATTTGGCAATTGGAGTAGGCTGATTCAGATCACATGGTCAGAATGTGATGTGGTA